GGGGGGTTAATACCTGGATATCCAGGTAGCAAATTTTGAGCCTGTGCTGCAAACACTTTTTTGTTTCCAGCGTGCCTCTTGCTGCGTCTCAAACTGCTTTGAGACATGGCAAGAGGCATGTGTGGGATCGTCTGGACGTGCCCTAAACAACTATCTCATGGGTTTTTCCTTTATAAGTCTTTAAACACCTAATGATAAACAGAAGAGGGGGACTTGTTAGAAGGAACATTGCTGACTTTTATTTTTCAAGTGCTTTACCTGTTTGTCTTCTTTTTCTGTGTCTTAAATAGAAAAGAAATAGATTTTAATAGTGGTTGTTAAAATGGGATTGTGATCTAAGAAAACCTGATGTGAAATCCTGAAATATATTTCACATTTCACTCTTACAGCAGGTGCTGTTTTAACATTTTATTCCTTGTTGAGGTTGGAGAGAGCTCCTTATTACTGCATCAGGAGCCTGCCTTTCCTATGGTAACCCCCTTCATTGTTGCTTCCCCTTTCCCTGCCCAGATTAGCCATGTGTAAAGCAGGAACCATATAATTTCTTGGAGAACCTTTACACTGAATCGCAGCCTTAGAATTCCCCATCAGAGTGTGGATACTCACTTCCACTGTCTGTATTGCTTTCACAGTGCTTCTGAGAGCACTGCTTGTAAGCACACTTCACTTTTGTTCCGTGCATGTCACACCTAGAAACAAGGCGATGAAGTTGGTCTGAAGGCTCCTTCCCCCATTACTCTTGAGATCCCCACATCTGGTGTGCTTGAGAACAAGTGGCAGGCAGTACCCTCGGTACAACTCTATTGCCTTATTTCTGCATTTGGTACATGTGGAGCAGCAGTGGGTGGGTAGAACCATGCCTCTGGATGGTCCTATCCAGCATGCCACGGAAGCAGTGTACACATGCCCAGTATTGCCAGCTCTGTCACTTGGATCCCCTTAAATCATGAGGTTTTGAAAGCAGAGGTCCCCTGATGCATACTACATTTAAAATGTTAACAGGTTAATTGTGCCTTAAATAGTAACCCAGCTACACATTCAAGTCAATTTAAGGCATTCATAGATTCATAGATATTTGAGTTGGAAGGGACCTCAGTAGATCATTGAGTCCGACCCCCCTATATACCTGCAGGTACCTTCCGAAGGTACCTTAATGTATGATCATACAGTAAATGAACCACAGTGCTATTCCACATATAATGTGTAGTAACTTTGTGGCTTGTTTTTCATGCCTTAAATCCAATGTGTGGCCGGTTGGGGCTGGCCCATGACAAATCCCAACATTCAGCTCAGTGTCAGGGTCCAGCATGAGGCAACCGCAAGATCTGGAACACAGCTGTCTCCTACCCAGTCAGGCTGGGGGCAGAACCAGTCCCTAAACCCAAGGGTCCCACTTGACCCCCAGAGGCAGAAGGGGGATGCAATAAGCCTGACATTGAGGAGTGTCTCCCCCAATTTCAGGCTCACTGCACCCCAGACCTTTAAAAAACACGTGTGTAGGTGAGCTGCATGCACAGTTTTCTGACATTCTGGTCCCTGGGACCCTGGGATTAGGAGCCTGTCTCTGATCCCAAGATCCCCAGCACCTATGATGTCAGAAAACCACATGTACAGTTCAGCTTCACACATGGTTTTTAAAGGTTCCAGCATGATGGGACCCCAGGACTGCGGCAAGGCTCCCTGATCCTGGGGTCCCTGTGTACCAGGATCTGCAAAAACTATGTGTGCTGTGCAGCTGAGGGGCACACCACAGTTTTTGCTCATTTCCCATTATGGGAACCCCAGGATCAGCAACCACAGCCCGATCCTGGGGTCGCTGTGCCAAGGGATGAGTAAAAATCACATGTGCCTCCCATCTAGGGTTTTGTCTGATTGTGGGCACCTAGCTTTCAACTTGTTGATACAAGGCTGGGATCATGGTCCTGGTGTCCCCTTGGACTGGCAAGTAAAGTGTAATTGGAATCTAATGCCTGATCCCAAAATCATGTGCACTGCTATGCATGTGTGATATGGCAGGAGATGCAGTAGTTGGGACTGCAAATCAGATACCATCATGCTTTTAAGTGAATGTCTGTCAGTGGCCTGAGATTCTCACAGAAATCAGAGGAGTCCAGGAAAGCAGGCTTTGGAGAAATCGCCATGGACCGTGAGACTCATGATAAAGTTGCAAATGTTGGCAGTACAGAGGATGAGCATGTGAGGATGCACACAAGATCTCACAGCTCCCTGCATGTACACTCTCACTCATTATTCCTTCCATTGCCACTGGGTCAGCTGCTATTGTGTGGCAACATCTTTGAAACATGAGCAAATATGAGTAGATTAAAAAGGAGGAGGATGACAGAAGACCCAGGAAAAAAAATCTGACCACTCTGGGACCACTGTTTTGGCAAGGAATCTAGATCTAGTTTCCCACCTCCCATCCTCAGAAAACACCCACTGCTCATGAATGTACAAACAACTTCATACACATGTTTTGATCAATAGTGTCTGCATCAAGATAGATAGACTGTACACTTGCAAAAGCAATCTTTGCTCAAGTGTTAAGAGTATATTAGCTCCACACACGTGCAACTATTTGCTACACTACCCTGGCCTGTTATTCAGACTTTCAGTTGTCTCTCTGACGTGTTCCCTTTTCTGACAAAGCAAAGGTACTCTGGAGATTGGTGTTCTTTTCATCAAATATTTCAGAAGTTTTCCTTTGAATAAATCATTATTTACTAGAGGTATTCACAGTCTAGAAAAATGTTTAGAATAAACCTGGTTTGCAGGGTTGAAAAAAAGAGTCCAGCTTTTGAGATTTACTTTTTCCTTTAAGTATGTTCCATTTCCCTTTTTCTTTTTTCCCTATTTTCAAGGAGAAATTGATATTGATCTGAAAGTGAAAACAGTTTTTAGATGACAGTTTTGCACTACATTTATTGCTCACTTCTTCTTTTTGTGAAATGCAGATCAGCATGAAATCTGAACTAGATGTCAGCTGCTTCATAATTACAAAGAAAATAGTTGGGAATCATTATATTCATTACCCTTTCATTCTTTGCCTAGGCCAATCAGACCAGGAATTGGTAGAAGACAGAAGACTTTTGAGGAATTTGTTGAAGAACAATTGAAAGTAGACTCTCAAATAGTAGAAAAACATCAGCAGCAGCAGCAGGTATTGTGCTGTTTGCCGTATTGGTGGTGTTCCGCTTCTAGTTTCTGATGTGGCCTTCTGCTTGCCAGTGATGCATAGGCCTTGTTCTAGCTCTCTGCACAAGAATGTCTTCTATTGCCTTTTTAATGCCAAATTAAAAAAAGGTAAAAAAGGGCCAATCATCTACCCAAATTCAGCAGCTTACTGGATTAAGGCATTTTGATTTCTATAGGCAATAGCACCCAACAGAATGGTGTGGCTAGCAGCCCACCTAGGAGCTGATCAAGAGGTAGTGAAGTGGCATAGATAAACCCCCTGTTTTGGATCACTCCACCCTCTTTTTTAAGTCCCTGGAGCAGGTAAGAGTTTCTCTCCTCTTGGCTCCCCGACCCTTCCCCTCCATACTCAGCAGCACCTCCCCTCCTCTCCTCTTCCCACTCATTCTCTCCCTGGCCCCACCCACCACTGCTACTATTCCTGCTGAATTCTAACCATTTCCAACTTCATTTAAAGGAAATCTGTATTTCAGGATGACCCGGCTAGTCTATTTATCAGCCCTCCCTATCAAATATCTGTATGGGTCTGATAATCATATCCCTTTGACTTTTGGTCTGTCATTTTTTGAGGGGGCACGTTCTTGCCAGGTGGTGAGTGCTCTGATTCTAATGTTTCTAAGACTGCAGGCTTATGCTTACCTGTAAATACACAAGTATTCCCTTTGATGTGAATGAGATGTTTCACATGCTTGAAGATAATGATGTACCCAAATGCTTTGAATAGACTGGAATGCTCAGCACTTTGGGCAGCTTCAGTCCAGTGATCTTTGTGAAATGTGCAGAATTATAAGCCCTGAAGGCTGAGCTCTTCAGTTATTTCAGAGGACAGGTGTAGCTTGGACATTAACAGTGCAGACTTCTCAGTTGTCATTCTCTGCAGCTGACCTGCATGACATACCTGTAAGGAGGAGTAGGCAATTCATTTTCCATGGCCCATTAAATCCTTCCGGCTGAGATGGACCTCAAGCAAGATTTATTAGTATCTCCAAGCACTGTTGGCTTATAAGCACTTTTTAAAAGGTGGACCCTGGGCCCCTGCCATGTGTTACACTTGAGACGTGATTAACTGGTTAATTACATCTTAAATTGTATCCCAGCCGTGTGTTAAAGCAAAGAATGGTGTGATAAAGCAAGGAATAAGTCACAAAGTTATTACACAAAAATGTTCAATAACTTTTTGGATGGTTCCTATCATGCCATTAATTGAATATGTAGCCAGGTGCATCTCTGTGGCTGGGAGCCCCATCAGCTGAGGGGCCTCCCAGTTGTGGGAGCTTGCTTCCTGCTGCTGCAGGGTCAGTCTGGGATCCCACAGTCATGCTTCCTGCTATGTATGTGTGACATGGCAGGAAGCATGATTGTGTGGATTGCACATCAGATCCTATCATGTCTTTGCCTGAATATCTGGCAGGGGCCTTAGTATCAAATATTACAATGTTTTTTCACCACTTATAATTGCATTTTATCTTTAAGCATTAGTTTTGCTGTCTTGCAACATTTACTGACCTGCAAAATATAGTTTTGTATCAAACATATTTTGAAACCCAGAGCATTAAACTCCAATTCTCTTTGTTCACTAACAAAGTAACACACTCAGATTCCAAGTGATTCTTGTTTATTTGTTACACACAGCACACATAATTCCTTTAGCTGTAGGCAAACCCAAAAGCAAAACTTCTTACCCACAATAGCTATTCTTTTTTCTCCATTCTTTCCTACTGTTTT